ACATCTCTATGAGGCCTGACAGGCACTGTAAATATAATGCAATCAAATATACATTAAATTTTTCAATGGTTCTCTATAAAATTAAAATATTTCTTAAGGTTGGTAGCATCCTCAATTAGCTGGCCTCGGCCTTGTTTTCAAGGTCTGCTTCCTAGTTCCTACTTTACCCTTCATAGTGTCTAAGTTCTTGAGATTTACTTAATATGGATCTAAGTCTCTATTCCCTTTTCAGTGCTAATTCCTTTCTTATTTACCTGATTAACTTCAATCAACTTTCACACTTGTTTCTGGAGACATTTCCTATGAGAATGTCTCTTAAGTCTTCCTTTGTTGTTTTTGTTTGTTTAGTTGTTTTTGTTTGTTTTTCAAGACATAGTTTCTCTGTAGCTTTGTGGCCTGTCCTGAAACTCACTCTGTAGACCAGGTTGGCATCGAACTCATGAAAATCTGCCTGCCTCTGCCTCCTAAGTGCTGGGATTAAAGGCATGTGCCATCACCACCCGGCTTGTTTTTAAAACCCTATAGTATCAGGTATTGACTCCTTTGAGGTTAACAGTCCATATTTACTTTAATCATATACTATATTACAAATTTTATATGACTACTTATCTTCCTCATCAGATAGTCAGCTACTCTATAGTTGTGATGGCTATCCTTGGTTGTCAGTTTGACTATATCTGTAATAAACTGCAGTCCAGAAATGGAGGGCACATTTGTAAAAGGGTCTTGAGGCAAGAAGACAACAGACCTTTGTTCTGGATCCCGAGGCGGAAGACACACCTTTAACCTGTGCCACACCTTCTACTGGAAACTTATATATGGGCACTGGAAGAAGGAAGGGTTCATCTGTTCTTTGTCTGCTTGCCCTTGCTTTCCCAATATGCTCATTCCTTTACTGGCATTGGAGCCTACTTCAGGACTCCAGCATACACAGAAGACCAGCTGAGACACCCACCTTCATGGGACTGAGCAGCTACTTGGACTTCCATTCACAGGTAGCCACTGTTGGGTTAGTTGGACTGTAACCTGTTAGTCATTCCAATAAATGTATTCATTCTATAAGAAAGCTCTGACTAATAACAGTAGCTACTGTTCTATCCATCTTTATGCCCTTAGTCACCAACATAAATCACAGACCCATGATTAGTTGGTGTTAATCAATGCTGGCTAGATGAATTAGATTATTTGGTTGAACGAAGTATTTATCTTAATAAGAATATGAAGGAATAGAAAGTCAAGTCGAATGGCTTCTGTCCCTGCTGTGTAATTGAACTGCGGTGACATTTCTCGGGGGCCTGCTAGGAAAGGAAACGACTAGGAGGTGACTGGGGAAGGCTTGGCTCTCCGTCCCGCCACACTAGATTCTCCTTACCTGTTTCTTCAGTTGTGGTTTTCTTTTTATTCCGAAGGGGATGCTGATATCCTAATAGATGTAAGTTGAAGAAAGCCATCTTGGTGCCTCCTTTTCAGAATGTCTGCTCTGTAGTGCTGGGTTCTAGTAACCATAGTGATGCCTTGAAGAATTACCTTGACTGACATTTCCTTTGTCCAGTGAGGCTCAGGATTTATAGGTCATCATGGAGTTGGAATTGAGTGGGCTAAAGAATTTCAGGAAACTTGAGGAATCAAGTATGATTACCTTCTAAAAAAGGTGTTTCTGCCAGGCTGTGGTGGCTCATGTTTTTAATCCCAGAATCAGGAAGAAAAAGCAGATGGGTATTAGTGAGTTCGATGCCAACCTGGTGTACAGATCAAGTTCCAGAACAGTCAGAATGGTCACACAGAGAAACCTTGTCCCCAAAATCCAAAAAATAAAAACATAAAAAACCAAACCAAACAATATTCTTTGAAAATTTCATACATTTGTACTGTATACTTTGATTATATACATCCCCCGCTATTTTTCCCTTCAACTACTCCAAATACCTACTATCTTCTTGTCCCCTTCCTTCCTTCCTTCCTTCCTTCCTTCCTTCCTTCCTTCCTTCCTTCCTTCATTGAGACAGAGTTTTTCTATAGCTTTGGAGCCTGTCCTGGAGCTCGCTCTGTAGACCAGAGCTGGCCTCGAACTCACAGAGATCCACCCGCCTCTGTCTCCAGAGTGCTGGGATTAAAGGCGTGCACCACCACCGCCCAGTAAATTTATTTATTTTTATGTGCATTGCTATTTTGCCTGCATGTATCTCTGTATGAAGATTGCAGATCCCCTGGAAATGGAGCTATATATATCTGTGAGCTGCCATGTGAGTGCTGGGAGTTGAACTCAGGTCTTTTGAAAGCACAGCCAGTGCTCTTAACCACTAAGCCATCTCTCCAACCCCCTGTCTCCTTCCTAACCTCACTGTGTAGCTCTGGTTGTCCTGGAACTCACTCTGTAGACCAGGGTGGCCTAAAACTCAGAGATCTGTCTGTTCTGCCTCCCAAGTGCTGGGATTAACGATGAGTCCCACTCTGCCCTGCCTAGTTATCAAGTTATTTTTAAATTCCCAATCTGGAATCCTAAGATTCCACTGTGAGTACCTGGTTCTGATGCTTCCAGGTTTTGCTTTTCAAGCTTGAACAGAACATGTTATGCAAGGCTCAGATTTTATCTTTAAATGGCTAGGCTTTGGAGATGTTCACTGTTTGCTGCAGATGCAGGTACTGGAGGCCACTTGAGAAAGGGCTTTTTACTGTATGTGAAGGGTCATCAATTTGCCTAGACTGTCCTGCCATCAAACCTAGGATTCTTCTGTCTGTCTCCCCAACTCTGGGATTACTGGTGTGGTGCCGTTTTTTGCATGGGTGCTGGAGACCTGAACTCGGGTTCGCATTCTTCTGCACAAGGCAATACTGACTGGCCGTCTGCCTAGCTGGACTTCCCGGTCTTCTGCTAAGCATGTTCCTCCCTGGGCAGTGACCTTAAATGTTTAACATTTCTTCTACCTTACATAATAGAGCAAGGGTAGAGATAACTGAAGTTGGCTAATTCCTATCTCTCATGGTTAGGCTTTGGTAAAACTCAAGTTTTATTTAAAAACTTCATTTGAGGATCAGTGAGATTGCTCAGTGAGTAAAAGGTGCTTGCCACTAAGCCTGATGACCTTGTGTCCAATCTTTGGATTGCGTGGTAGAAAGAACATCTTAAATTTGTCCTCTGACCTTTAGTCTTACACTGTGACGTGAGTAAACCTACAGGCTGGCTTTGAACTCAAGAGATCTTCCTGCCTTCTGACTGTTGGGATTAAAGGAGTGGACCACCACACCCTGCCCTATACCACGATTTTTTTTTTTTTGAAACAGGGTTTCTCTGTAGCTTTGGACCCTAACCTGGAACTAACTCTTATAGACCAGGCTGGCCTCGAACTCACAGAGATCCTCTTGCCTCTGCCTCCCGAGTGCTGGAATTAAAGGTGTGTGCCACCACCGCCCGGCATACCACAAATATATTATAAACATTATGAACTTGATAATCATGGAAGAACATGTAGGAAGCTGAGCACAGAGGTTCACAGGCCTGCCTACTTGGCCTATGTAGTAAGTTCAAGACCAATTTAGCCAATTTAAAAGAATAAATCAAGCAGGGCTGCCTACAGTTAGGTGGTAGTGTACTTGCCCAGCATAAGCACAAGGATCTAAGTTCAGTCTCCACTGGAGCTGGAGGGGCAAGTGCAGGGAGGGCAGGCTAAGAGGGGTTAATTAGCTTGCTTAGGTGGAAAAGCCATTAGACCTGGAGCTGGTCTAATAACCCAGAAGCCTAAATTTAGAGATTTTCCACGTGGTGGTGGAACTTTCCACACTGTAGAGGCAGTTTTAGTTCATCCATCAGCAGATCCTCGGCTACTTGGCTACTTCTAAACTATTTACTGTTCCTGTATGTGCCTCAGTGCGTTTGGGGCAGTCAGAGGACACCTTGCAGGTCAGTCCTCTCCTTTCATCTACTACGGGGTCCCAGGGATGGAATTTAGGTTGTCAGTGTTGGCAACAGCCTCCTCTTCCTGCTGAGCCATCTCGAGGGGTCCCTCACTCACATCCATACATATAAACACATCCATACACAAAAGTCCCAGAGGCCTTCTAGAGCAAAAACTGGAGCCCCAAATCTTTGAGATGGTCCAATGGTGGGTATGGTGGGCTCCTGGTAAACAAACAGTGGGGCCGCTCATTGATCTGTGATTTGAGATAGTGTGAACATCAGAACTGAGTTGAACACAGCGACAGAAGCCTGGGAACAGAGAAGCCCTAGAGTGGACAGGAGGGTGAGGGAGATAGCAGCCCAGCTTGCTTTTTACAGCCCCACAAAGTGGACCTAGGAGTGAGTCCAGAGCACAAATTATCTCTTGTTCTCTTTCGCTGGATAATCTTTCCCTAAGGTTTGGGTTTCCTAGAACTATTGATCTGGCCGGCATTCTGGCGCCTGGCATACCTTTGGGACCTAACTGAATGTTTGGAATCTGCACTGGCAAGCATATCGCTTTCCCTGCAAAAGTAAAGAAAGAGAAAAAGGTCTTGTTACCCTCATCGTCAAGTAAAAACACCCAAACACATTGAAATTAGTAACACTAATTTTATTTATTTATTTATTTATAATTTCCGAAACAGGGTTTCACTGTGTAGCCTCCTGGCTGTCGCGGAACTAGCTCTATGCAGACCAGGCTGGCCTCGAATTTACAGAGATCCCCCTGCCTCTGCCTCCCGAGTGCCGGGATTAAAGTCGTGCGCCACCACCGCCCGGCTAGCCCACCTTTATAAAGGGGCCTCCATCACGAGCGTTTGGAGAAAGACCCAGGCAGTGTGGCAGGCGGCAGGCAGAGGCCATCGGCAAGGCGGCCTCGGCTCAGTTATCGCGGGGAACGGCGAGATTTTTTAAAGAACAACTTTGAAGAGCGCCCCGGGGGTCACGTGACCCGCGCCTGCCTCCTGGCCGTGACTTTGGTCCCAGTCGCTGATTGGCTGTTGATTCGTCTACAGGGTGTCGGAGGGTTCATTCCGGAAGTAGGCGCTTGAATCTTCTGCTTCCTGGGCGGAAGTGTGTCACAGCCTGGCAGTCGGCTCTAGGAGGAAGTTCGTCACGTCGCAGTTGTCTCGGCACAGCGGATGTGTGTCGCCGCTTAGGTGACGCTGGGAAGTGCTTGCAGCCCCCGCCGCTGCCTTTTGGTTGAAGCACTATGGAGGGAGAGAGGAAGAACAACAACAAACGGTGGTATTTTACTCTAGAACAGCTGGAAAATAGCCCGTCGCGTCGTTTCGGCGTGGACTCAGATAAAGAACTATCTTATCGCCAGCAGGCGGCCAATCTACTCCAGGACATGGGACAACGTCTCAACGTGTATCCTTGCGGCCTAGGCCTTCGGCCTTGGAGCCCGTCCGGCCACGCTTCGGCGTCAGGCCGGGCACGCTGGAGGGGACAGGAGTAGGTAAGGTGGCAGGAGCTGGACGTCTAGTGGGGAGAGCCCACAATGGCGCTGGCTGAGCCACTGTTCGCGCGAGGGAAGTGAGGCGGAGTCAATTTCCCGCTCGCTCACCGGTGCCACCAGCCCGGCTGGGAATTCGGACCTCTCCCGTCTTTGTGCTTTCGCCACTCCTTCCCAGCCCGTCTCCTCTGAATTCTGACCTGTTTTAGTGACTTTTTAGAGTCTCCTTTCTGCCGTGAGCAAAGGCTCCTTTTAAGAGGTTTCACGGTTGACGCTGCCTCCCAGTGTGTAAAAAAGGTTTCGGGAAATTCTGTACCCGACGGGCCTTTGAAGGTGGTCTAGAATTAGCGTCCCAGCTTTGGTTCCAAACCCATTTCTCCCACTTACTAGCTGTTTAACCTGTTAATTCTTGGTTTTCTGTGTCCGCCAAAACCCTGAGATTCAGATGGTCTAGTAACTGTTTTGTAGAATTTAAGAGGAAGGAAAGATGTCAACTTAGGTTTGTCCTTTGTAGTCTAGGTATGGATATATAATGTTTTAAGTAGTTTGGCGAGTTTTAAGTTCTTGTTTCTTGGGGTCCTATAGATTATTCATCGTTTTCACATTTCAAAGATAATTTAGTGATAACTTGCACCTCCCCCGTTTTTTTCTTCAGAAAACACAGTCATTTGTGTCAAAACTAATAGTTTAAAAACTCTTTGTATTTCATATATAACTTTATTTTAGCTGCAGCTTCAATTTATGTAGCATTTAAAGAGTGATGCTGAGGGCTGGGTGTGATGTCGTACACCTTTGATCCTAGCATTGGGGAGCTAGAGGCAGGCTAAAGCTACAAAGTGAGACCCTGTCTCCAAAAAAAAAAAAAAAAGTTCTGACTATAATGTTTAGGTTTTAAGGGCTATATTTCTTCCAAATAGGTGTCCCCTTTTTTGGCCATCCCAAGCTTTCAATCGGTGCACAATTAAACCTCTGAGTTTCTGTATATGTTTAAGGCACCTTTTTTGGGGGTGGGGTGGGGGCACCTGTCCTGGAATTAGCTCTTGTAGACCAGTCTGGTCTTGAACTCACAGAGCTCTACCTGTCTTTGCCTCCCGAGTGCTGGGATTAAAGGCCTGTGCCGCTGCCACCTGGCTAAGGCTCCTTTTTAAAGTGTGTTTAAGCTTGTTACCATCATACTGTCTTCTCTATACAGATTGTTGCTTGTTTCTGAGGTCTGTGGGAATAAGGTGTCCCGTCCCCGTGTGCCCCCCTCCCCCCCACTTTGTAGGTATACCCATACAAATGAGAGACTGGATTAGTGGGAGGGAGGAAGGAGTTTATTTACAGTGGATTACCATCAAGACTTTTCAAACGTCTGTAGTTCAGGAGCCAGGATATTTTCTGAAAGAAGTAGAACTAAGCCGGGTATGGTGGTGCACGTCTTTAATCCCAGCACTTGGGAGGTGGAGACAGCCTGATTTCTGAGTTCGATGCCAGCCTGATCTACACAGAGAAACCCTGCCTTGAAATACCCTCATACCCACCCATCCCCCAGCTCCCCCCCAAAAAAGGAAGAAAGAAAAAAAGTCGAACTGAAAAACTGATTTCTGGAGTTTGTTTATCCTTGGGCAAGAAAGATGGCCCAGCAGGTAAAGGCGCTTACCACCAAACCTGATGACCTGAGTTCTATCCCTATGGCGCATATAGGGCGGACGGATAACTGACTCCTGCTAGTTGCACGCTGACCCCCCACACTCATGCTGTTGTGTGTGTCTCCCCTCCAAAAGTGTATGTAGTGAAAGATATCCTGAACTTGCAGAAGGCAAGTGACATGGCAGGAAGGTTTAAAATCCTATGTAGCTGTGCTTATACTGCATATTGATTTATACCTTGCCACTTGTTTTATTTATTCAGTCATTAAGTTTGTGTGAAGCACTTAATAGGTAGAAGACACGCTGTCAATTGGCAGTTAATACCTTAGTGAAGGGAAACAAAACTGCTATTTGGTTTGATGCGGTGACTGTTACTTTTGTGTAGGATTGTTGTCTACTGTGCTTTGCTTTTTTTTTTTTGGGAGGGGGGAGATTATATTGTCTGTTATTGAACCTTAACTTGAGCAATTCAGCTCACAACTGACTATCAACACTGCTATAGTATACATGCACCGGTTCTATATGATTCAATCTTTTACACAGTTTCATCGCTATGTAAGTACAATTTTGTATGGAGTATTCCTTTTGGGGTTGGTTCTAGCTGTCGTATGATTGGTTGTTATTAGATTAGGATTTTAATTTTAGAATTTAGGGCTGGTCATTTTAAGGTCAAAAAATAATGATTTGAGTCTAGCGTCTTAAGTTTATGGCCATAAGAAGACAAATGTCAGTTAGATTTTGCAAAACCTTTGGTAAAATCCAATGGGTAGCTGGAGGGAAAGATGCATTACGTGGTAGTACCTGGGGAGATGACTTAGGAATGGGGAAGAGTAGGAATAAAAGGATGCTTTTTCTTGGACAAAGTTGTAAATATGGTGCTATTTTCAGCTTTGTTAACTGGTCTGTTTAACATTTGGTGATTTGGGAGTGAGTACATAGCGATATTTCAGTTGCAGGTAAGACTTTAATTAAAATCCCAAGGGAAAGCCGGGCGCTGGTGGCGCACGCCTTTCTGTAATCCCAGCACTCAGAGGCAGGTGGATCTCTGAGTTCAAGGCCTGCCTGGTAAACAAGCCAGGTTCCAGGACAGCCAGGGCTACATAGAAACCTTTTTTTTTTTTTTTTTTTTTCCCATACAGGGTTTCTCTGTAGAGGAAACCCTTTCTTAAACAGACAAAACCCTAAGGTAATAAAGGTTGACGTGAACAGACCGTGTGGATTAGTGGGTCATATATTCTACCATTATTTTTTAAAGTCTTTGAAGAAACATGTTCGAAATTTTAGGTTAATGCATCTAAAAATAAATAATTTGATTTTTTGAGTGTTTTGTGGCAGTGCCCACAGAGGCTAGGTGAGGGCGCTGAATTCCTTGGAGCCCCAGGCAACTGTGGGCAACCCTAGATGGGTGCTGGGAGCCCAAGTTCTGAGCGTCTTCAACCCAGATAAGACATTTGGAATTGTTTTGTTTTGTTACTATAAGAAGAAACTTTGTGAAGGTAATTATAATTGCTGTAATGTAAGAAATTGGCAGAATCAGACTTAGGAGTAACATGAAACTCTTGGGATCTTTAGTTAAGTATTGATAATTTTGAGTGATTGGTCAGTTTGACTTTTTCCTGCCCTTAACTCCCATACTTCTAATTAGTCTTTATTGAAGCTATCTAATAGCACTGAAACAGACGTAATGAATCAAGAATGAAATAGGAATTCCACGGCTATCTTAGTAGTTTTGAAAATTTTCTATGTTCAGCTTTCCGTCTCTCTTTGTGAGGCAGGTTTATCTGTGTTGCCTTGGTTGTCCTGAAAATCACAGGGATCTGCCTGCCTGTGGGTGCTAGGATTAAAGGCGTGAGACACCTGACCAATTTTTTTTTCTTCGATATTAGGGTCTCACTATGCAGTCATGGCTGGACTTGATCTAATTCTGGCTGCCTTGATTTTCCAAGCACTGGCATTAAGGGCAGCAGGCGCAACACCTGCCGAGTCTTCTCTTTTATTGCAACAAAGATTTGAAATTTAAACCAGACGGTGGTGATGCACACCTTTAATTCCAGTACACAGGAGGCAGAGGCAGGTGGATCTCTGTGAGTTCGAGACCAGCCTGGTCTACAAGAGCTAGTTCCAGGACAGGCTCCACAGCTACAGAAAGACAAAAGAAAGAAAAAAAAATAAATTTGAAATTTAGAGTGGAATCTTAAATCAGGTTGTTCAGTTCAGTCTGTATTTTTGGGTTAGCATATATGTCCTTTTTATTTAAGTGACATGATCTCTTATTGCCTGTGTGTTAACTTTAGTTAAGACAGACATTAATCTGTTTATTTTCAAAGTACCTGCAGTAAGCTGGAAGAATTAACGAATGAGTTGATTATCATTTAATTAAACATCCTTTTGGATATTATATCCTTTGTTTTTATTTGTGTCTTGTTTTGACAAAGGGCCTCACTAGTAGCCCTGACCTCACATGTAGCCTGAAGTCAGAAATTCACCTGCTTTTGTCTCTTGAGTGCTGGTATTAAAAGCAAACACGACCACTGTTGGTGCCCTAACTTTTAAAGTAGTTGATGTTTAGAGTATTGATTTTTTTTTCTTTTGTATATTTTGGAATTAGCACATCAAAATACTACTCTTATAAGTTGGATTTAACTATGATAAATTAAAATTAAATTTGAGAGGATTTAAAACGTCGTGGCAGGCTGGGTGGTGGTGGCACACAACTTTAATCCCAGCACTTGGGAGGCAGAGGCAGGGGAATCTCTTTGAGTTTGAGGCCATCCTGGTCTACAAGAGTTAGTTCCAGGACAGGCACCAAAGCTACAGAGAAACCCTGTCTCGAAAAAACAAAACAAAACAAAAAACAAAACAAGACATTATGGCATTCATGTTACGCCTGTCAAGCCAGCCCTTGTGGATTTTTTTAATTGTGTGTACATGATGTGATCATATGTGAGTGCAGCTCACATTTGCTGTGTGCACATATGAGATCAGAGGACAAGTTTTGGTTCTCTTTTTCCTGCATGGGTTCTAGGGAATTAAACTCAGGTTGTCAAGTTTGGGCAGCTGCACATTAGGCTGCTGAGCTATCTTGCTAGCTGCCTTGTGAATTTTTATTATTACATGTTGGGGGAGGCTGCTAGTTCGTTTCCCCACTGCTCTGTCCTGAAATAATCACACAGAAATCTGTATTAATTGCAATATGTTTGGTCAATAGCTTAAGCATATTTCTGGCTAACTTTTTTTTTTTCCTGGCTAACTCTTATATCTTAAATTAACCCATTTCTATTAATCTGTGTATTGCCATGTGGCTGTGGCTTACTAGCAAGGTTTTGGTTTATCTGTCTCCTGCAGGCAGCTACATGGCTTACTTTCTATATATCTTTTCCAGCTTGGGTATATTCTGTTAAGCCATTAGCCAAAGTTATTAAACAATGTCAGTAAAACATATTCACAGCATATAGAGGGGAATCCCACATCACCTCCCCTTTTCTGTTGGAATAAAAAGGAAGGTTTTTAACTTTAACTTCGTAAATTTACCTAGCAAAACAGTTATCAAGCAAGAATTATAGTTACAATATTATAACTATTTTTCAACTCCATCAAAGACTCCAGAAGGATATAATATTACTTATATTAATAGGAAGTGCACTATAAGCAACTTTCAAAACTCTAGAATTGACAGAGACATCTCACTGCCTGGACAGTCACCCAGAGTTCTTCTGTACCGTTGGGGCATCCAATCTTCAGCCTACAGGTCCATAGTATCTGGCAGACTTTTCCATGAAGCAGGAAATTTCAAAGACAGCTCCACCTATATTTGCAGTTTATCGTCACATTCTTCTGTGTCCTGCAGAATGTCTAGCAGACTCTTTAATGAAGCAGGAACCCCGAAGGACTGTCTCACCTTTAGGCAAGTTCATCAGTCATTTTTCTGTGGGTCCTGCATGTCCAGTTCATACAGCATAACATCAAGCAGTCCAGGCAAGAGCAATTGGTTGCTCAAATGGCTAGCCAACTCCATTAGGAGCCTCTTCCACGCCCATCATCCTCTTGAAGTAGATTGGTGCTGCCAGGAGCAGATGTATCTGTCATGAAAAGTTTTAAGTTCTTAAAACATTTTAGATGCCATATTCTGTGGGTCTTTGAAAAGTTTGAAGATTGTCTGTCTAACTGAAATATATCTCTAGGAGGCAGAGGCAGGCTGATCTCTGAGTTCGAGGCCAGCCTGGTCTACAAGAGCTAGTTCCAGGACAGGAACCAAAAACTACGGAGAAACCCTGTCTAGAAAGTTCAAAAAAAAAAAAAAAAAAAAAAAAAAAAAACATGATAAGCTTGGCTATTATAGATGATTATTTATTAACCTATATTTCTTAATTATACATTACATTTTTAAATGAGCTGCACAATTACAATACCTTAATCAAGAGCAGAAATATATATAAAACAAAATTGATCTTAAATTTGTATCAGTAAGCCAAGATCCATAACTAATGCATTATAGCAATTACAAATATAAATTCTCATTGTAAACATTCTAACAGTACTGAAAACTGTGCCCTGTAGAGGTAATCATTGATCAATATTTGACATACAGTATTCATGACTCTATTTAAACTAGTACTTTAAACTAGTACTTTGTTTAAAAGATCATTTCTTAGCTGGGTGCTGGTGGTACAGTTGGGAGGCTGAGGCAGGTGGATCTTGGTGAGTTGGAGGACAGTCTGGTCTAGAGTGAGTTCCAGGACAACCAGTTATACAGAGAACCCTCCTCCCCAAATCAGTATACTGTTCCCAGCAGTGTAAGCAAACACACCCCTCCCATTGTTTCATTTCACTTAAATTCTGGATTCACCAACTGAATTTCCACATATGCTGTCTTAAGTCTTTTCAAGTGAGGAAAGATAAGTCATTACATTCTGCTGTTTTGTATTTATGTTGTATTTTACGTTTAAAAATCCTTGGGGGTAAATATCTGACACAGTACAGTGTGTATTTAGCATTTTAGGTTTTGGGTTCAGTTCATAGCACCAAAAGAAAAAAGGACCCATATTTTAATAATATATTTTACCCTTATTTGCTGAGTGTGTATGCTGGTGTCAGATGTGTCTAGATTTAGAGTTCTGATTTGCTTACTAGTTGTGTGACTTTGTGTAGGTATTCATATGCCTCTGATTTCTGGGCTTTATGTTCATTAATAGTGCCCTTTTTTTTTTTTTTTTTTTGTTTTGTTTTTCGAGACAGAGTTTCTCTGTGTTGCTTTGGAGCCTGTCCTGAAACTAGCTTTTGTAGACCAGGTTGGCCTCGAACTCACAGAGATCCTCCTGCCTCTGCCCACGAGTGCTGGGATTAAAGGTGTGCGCCACCATTGCCTGCTTAATAGTGCCTGTTTTTAAAGGAGTTGATGGGATTTAAACTGATTAATTTCTGCGTTTCTTTCCAAAGCAAACAGTTGGTAAATATTAGCTGTTTTATCTTTTTCTTTTCTTTTCTTTTTTTTTTTTTTAGAGATTTAATTTATTACGTATATAGTGTTCTGCCTGCATGCCAGGAGAGGGCACCAGATCCCATTCTAGATGGTTGTGAGCCACCATGGGGTTACTGGGAATTGAACTTATGATTTCTAGAAGAGCACACAGTGCTCTTAACCACTCCAGTCCTCTTTCCTTTTTGTTTTTCAAAGAAAATTTATATTCTAAACTTGTCTAAAAATTCCTCTCAGTTAAGTACATGTGCCCGTAAGCCTAGGTATCAAGGAGACTGAAATACAGGGTTTCCATTTTGAGGATAACATTGAGAAAGGTGCTTTTGGTCACCTGACAACCTGAGTTCAATCCCTGGAAAATTACAATGAAGGAGAGTCGACTGGAATCAAACCCAGGACTTTATACAGATCAGACATCAGTCTGCTAGTTGAGGTACACTCCCAGGGCCCTGTGTTTTTGTTGTTGTTGTTTTGTTTGTTTGTTTAAGTCCATTCATCTGTCCGTGGATGTCTAGACTAGTTCCATTTGAGCTTTTTAAGAAGAGTAAAAGGATAAGGAAGGTTGTGCAAGTAAGTATCTTTGTGGCATGCCAGGCTTAAGTCTAGAAAATTGTAATTTAGATAGCAGTAGGGTTGAGAGTAAGTATTACAATGTTTCAATTGCTGTGAAATCTTGCATGGTTAGTCTCTGAGATCTTTACTTGCGTATTGGCTTGAATTATCTTTCCTCTCCTAAATATTTTCTATCTTGTGAGTTTAATACTTTGTAGCTTTTTTACTTTTTATTTTATTTATTTATTTAATTTTTAAGACAGGGTTCCTCTGTGTAGCCTTGGCTGTTCTGGAATTTACTTTGTAGATCAGCCTGGCTTTGAACACAGATGCTGCCTCTGTCTACTTAGAGCTGGGATTACAGGCGTGTACCACTACTGCCTGACTGTTTTTTTTTTTTTTTTTTTATTTTTTAAGACAGTCTCATGTAGGCCAGGCTAGTTTTGAACTCAGAGATCTAACTGCCTCTGCCTCCTGAGTGCTGGGATTTCAGGTGTGGGCTACTGCACTCAACAAAAACGTTTTTATTTAGTGTGTGTTAAATACATTTGTGTGCTTGTCTGTGTGTAGGGGGCAGAGACTAGAAGTTGACACCAAGTCTTCTATTGCTCTCAATTACTTTTTTGAAATAAGTTCTCTTACTGAACCATTTTTGCTAGACTGGGTGACCTCTAAAACTCATGACTGCACTGCAGCCCTGGTGTTGTAGATGTGCGCCACCTGGATTTCTTGTATCCCCACTTAATTTGCTGAGCTTCCAAATTTTTTAAAATTCTTTAATTCACTGCCCCTTCCCATATTCACAAAATTAGGTAACCATCACCAGTGTTTGGTCTGAAAACATGTGTATCAATTCTTGGTCATTAGCAGTCACCACATATCTATCCCTGCAGCCTCTGCCACTTAAGCTACTTTCTGTCTCTGGATTTACTTATTCTAAGGATTTTAATTTACCATTAAAAAAAAAAAAAAAGAACAACCTTGGCATGGTGTCTCATACCTATTATCCCAACATCCAAGAGACTGAATGAGGCAGAAGTTTCACCAGTTAGAGGCTATTTTGGGCAATATAAATACTGAGTTCCAAACCATCCTGAACTCTACAGTGAGATACCCACCTAAAGCAAGCAAACAACAAACATAATGGTGATTTTTCCAGTGGGAACAGCTTCCGTCTATAGTCTCCTCACATACACACCTGACCTTTTGAGGGATTGCTGTCTGATTTGAAAGTCCAGGGCAAGTGTAAATGCGAGGTATGACATGTGCCAGAGACTTGATTGTTTGAGATTTAGCTCCTCTTGAAATCAATAACAAGTGTGACCTTTTTTTTTTTTCTTCTATGAAGTCTATGGCTCCAGCAGCCTTGTTTCTAGCAGCAAAAGTGGAAGAACAGCCAAAAAAACTGGAACATGTCATCAAGGTAGCACATACTTTCCTCCATCCACAGGAGTCACTTCCTGACACGAGGAGCGAGGTAGGTAACTATACTTTTGAAAAAGTCATAACTTTGGTAACTTTGAATCTGAGCTGTTCAACTTTTCAGTGTTTAATTTCTAAAATAAAAAGCTTGTCATAAAAGCTTCATAAGAGCAAAGAATCATGTCACCTGCATAGATTTCTTTTTATCCTATTCTCTATATCAAAATACTCTTAATTCTCTGTGTAACAGTCCTGGCTATCCTGGAACATGCTTTGTAGACCAGGCCACCTGCCTCTGCCTCCCTAGTGCTGGGATTAAAGTTGTATGCCACCATCGCCTGGCTATGTCCTTGGCTTTCTTAGAGAAGGGCGACTCCTGGTTTTATCCATTTATTTAAAAAATTATTTATTGTGTATTTAATTAAACACGTCTTTGTGTATCTGTGTATGTGAGTGCAGGTGTTCATAAATGCCAGATCCCCCTGATGCTGGAGATATCGGTGTGTGGTATTGAGCTGACCAGTATCAGTGCTGGGTATTGAACTGCTCTAACTCATGGAGCCATCGCTAGTTCTTTTGCTTTTAGAAGTCAATGATTAGAGATGTTGGGATTGTAACATTTATAATTGAGATACAATTATGGATTTCTTTTACTAGGTTATTTAAGTCTTTTATGAGTATATTAGTTATGCTTTGAAAAAGATATATGGAATTGATTACATATTTTCCTATTGAAAATTTCTATATTATTCCAATTTTAGTATATGTACTATTAAAATGAGCATTGATACATTTATTTTTTTCCCACTAAGTTGCAACATCTGAGAAAACAAAGTAAGGGAAAGAGGGATTTCTTTTGGTTCACAGTTTCAAAAGTTTCAGCCTATGGTTACTTAGTTGTATTACTTTTGGGTCCAGGTTATGAGGCAGAATGTCATGGCCAGGATGAAGCAGGTGGTGGAGCAAAGTGCTCATCTGGCAGGTAGTAACCAGAGCATCAAACAGTAAAGAGCCAGGGACAAGATGCTCTCTTTCAAGGGCTCTGTTTCTGAGACTTACTTCCTAGCCCTACCTTTTGTTTCTTCTACCTCCCTAAATGCCATCAGATTATAACTGCATCTCTGGATTAATCTACAGATGAGGTCAGAGCCCTCATGATCCAATTACTTCCTAAGAGCTGACAGACCTAAAAGTTTTTTATTTATTAGTGTGTGCTGCGCCTCTGTGCATGCATGCCAGCCAGTCTGCCACAGACTGTGGAGCCAGAATACAACCTTGTGGCCTAGGTCTCTTTCCACATTTACTTGAATTTTTTTAAAATACTTAAGGATTACTTTATTGTCACTAATCTCATAATCCTTCAGTTTTCTATATAATGCATACAATATTCTGTCTGCGTGTATGCCTGCAGGCCAGAAGAGGGCACCAGACCTCATTACAGATGGTTGTGAGCCACCATGTGATTGCTGGGAATTAAACTCAGGACCTTTGGAAGAGCAGGCAGTGCTCTTAACTGCTGAGCCACCTCTCCAGCCCCCTACTTGAATTCTTGAGGTCAGACTCAGGTTGCCAGCCTTGTGTGACAACATCTTAACTGCTGGACCATTTTTCCAGCTCAATACTTAGACCCTTTAACATATCAGACTATGGGAGACTTTTCATATTCAAACAGTTTCATTCTCCAAAGCATGTTCACATAATTTCCTTTCCTTTTCCATTTCCTTTTCCCCTTCCTCCCTTCCTCCCTCCCTTCCTTCCTTTTTTTTTTTTGTTTGTTTTTTGAGTTAAAAAAATTCTCTGTGTTGCTTGGTGCCTGTCCTTGAACTCACCCTATAGACCAGGCTGGCCTTGAACTCACAGAGATCTGCCTGCCTCTGCCTGAGTGCTGGGACTATAGGCGTGCCCCTCGACCACCTGACTCACATAATTTCTTACCTGAGTGTTTTATATGAGGTGGTAATAGGAAGATGTTTTCTCCATTATATGGAAAAGAGGGCTAGCTAGCATAGTTTATATCCTTAACTTGCTTTACTAGTACAAAGTTTTTAGTGTGAAGTTAACTACAATGTCTCTTCTGTTAAACCTAAGCTCATGACAATTAGTACAATCAGTTAGATACTTAGTGCTGTTAAAGGGTCTGCAAATAGAATGTGATGAGTTTTAAAAAGGTGTGTTATTTCTCATCGCTAAATTTTCCGATTTTTGAGATTTAAAATATCAATCTGAAAATAAATAAAATTGTGCTTTTTAGTAGCTTAGAAAGTAGTAAAGTGCTGTCTTTTGATGTGCTGGCTTGCCAGGCAGTGGTAGCATGGGCCTTTAATCCAGCACTTGGGATTCAGGTGGGCAGATCTCTCATTCAAGTCCAGCCTGGTCTACAAGAGTTAGTTCCAGGACAGACTCCAAAACTACAGAGAAACCCTGTCTTGAAAAAACAGCAAAGAAAGTAAGATTTTGATGTGCCGTCTCTTTCTTCCTGTGGATGGAGGTTCTATTCCAGTTTCAACTCAGCTTGTTCTCCCATTCCACCCCTCTCAAGATTTAAAAATTTCTGAGTTTGAGTGTTTGCCCACATGTTACATGGACCCCATGTATGTAGTACCTATGAAGGCCAGAGGAGTGAGTCGGATTTCCTGAAACTTGAGTTGCAGATGGCTGTGACCTGCCATGTGGGTGCTGAGACGTGAACCTAACTGATTCTTCAGCCATCTTTCAGTGGCCTCCATCCATATCTTTTATTATTCTGCTTTTTAAAATGTTTACCCTTTCGTGGGATGTAATTTCTATATTCTTTCCCATAGGCATACCTACAACAAGTTCAAGATCTGGTGATTTTAGAGAGCATAATTTTGCAAACCCTCGGTAAGTTTATTTTCCTTAAAATCACTGAAAAATTATGTGTGCGGGTAAGAGACAGAAATCTTTAATAAATAAATAAATTAAAAAATAAAAAAAAAGAAAAATTATGTATGGAATATGATTTTATGTTAAAATTTGTAAAACTGGGAGAAAACCTTTTGAAGGGTTTGGGAATTGTCTGTTACTGGGTAATAGTGGCTGTGGAGTGTATAGTTTAGCCTGGTTTATTTCCACAGTGTAGGTGTAGGGTAGTCCTTGAAACAGCCATTAGTCAGGATCCCATC